CGTGCTGTACATTCTTCAAATATATCATAAAACACCAATGTCCTGGTCATGTAAGTCTCACCCTAAAATATTAAAAGTCGTTGTAAAGTATTTGAGCCATATATTTCTGTTAGTTTAGATTATGCATAACCCCTGTATTGTTCTGTGGATTAGCTGGGGCTTTTTCAGGGCTTTGGTATCCAAGCTTCATTCTTTGTGGTATCTGAACTTTGTTCAAATGTCATGGAGAGTGAACTGCCATGATCATAGCTCTCTTCGTCAGGCCTCAAGTGCAAAACTATACAGGGCAGTATTTCTTTCAGAATCTTCTGAAAAGCACAATAAATTCACTTATGGCTGTGCACTTTCCTTTTTCAGGATTCCAGATGCCATTTATTTGTCTACTGCTGAATTTCTATTTATGTTTTCTTGAGGTAGAAATCTCAGACTTCAGGAGTGTAGAATGTACCTGCAGGCACATATTGCCTCTCTTGTTTTAAAAAAAAAAAAATGTTATCATCACTCTTAGTAGCCTTTATTATGTAAGAATTTTTCCTGTTGGTTATTTTTAGGTAGTTAACTCCTTTCATCCAAGGCTCTTTTTCACCTATCACCCAGCTTCCTCAGAAGATGAGTCAGCTCTGCCTCTCTTCTGCCCTCACATAATGAAGCGTAGCTTCCACAAAGCCCAGACACTGTCATCACCCTAAGGATGATCAGTTTTATGTGGTGTCATTAACAACAACACTTTGATTAATGTCAAAATAAAGAAGCCTTCAAAGCAGCTCCTTTAGCTCCCCTCATAAACAAACATGTGAAACAAAAAGTAGCAATGTATCTGCACTGCATCTAGAAAAGCAGCAGCACAGAGACTCAAGAACACTGAAGTTATCCGGGCAAGAGCTACTGGTGCTGCATGAAACAAAGTTCCAGGATGCCACTATCTCACTTAATTCTACCTGTAATGCTACCTCAGATAACTCTAAACAACACTGCCATCTGAACTGCTGACTTATTTTACAGACAGAATAGCTGCAAAAGAAAACATAACAGAAACTGGTGTAAGACTTTGATGAGATTGGGAAGATGAAAAAAGGGGAAACCTTGAGGAGATTCCTTTTCAAGTAGCAAAAGAAAGGTCTCATCTGGCTTTGTGTAAGTCTTCTAGTTATTGATCATTGGGCTGGCTTACTTATACTCACATATGTGTGAATGTGTGTGCTTTGAATGCAAAGTAGTCACCTTTCTTGATAGAGAAATAACCCTAACAGCAGAGGTTAGCTGGAGAAGCTAACTTTGGACAACTTGCTATTAGTCCAACATCTGAATATTCATCCCACCGTTCTGGTGACCTTTCAGAAAAATGTGCTGTTTCATCCACAAGATCACGAGCTTATGCTGCCATCAGTGAGTGAATTCTACTGGCAGTGTAATTCAGGATTGTATTATATAGCATCATTGGTTCCTACTGCTTTAAACTTATGAATAAGTAAGACTATCATTTTGGTAGTCCTGTCTGGTTTAATTTCCCATTACTAGCTGCATTATGAAGCCTCTCTTTGAGAGGATGAAATGCTTTCCAAAGCCATTTCTCTTTCCATCTATATCCCTTCCTCAAAGTTAAGATGTCATATCTAAAATTAAAAATATTGTCTGATATATGGGTCTCACAAAAACACATTTAGCAAAGCAGGAGTCTAAAAGACTTATTTAAATGTGCAACCACTCAGTCCAAAATGAATAAAAAAATCCTAGACTTAATTTTTTCATAATGAAATCTTTTTAGAGCTTTACATCGTAGAGCTCTATTATAAAGTCTACTGACAGAGTTTTAACATTTTTGACCTGAAGATTTTCATTTAAAGGTAAACAAAAAATGAATCAACTACTTTATAAAGAAAAAATCTAAATACTCAATAAAGATAGAAATTTGCAGTGGGCCTATTCTTATGTATTTTCAATTACTTTTATTGGGAGCTTTCTGTTTTCCATAAGGAAACAAGCCATGTGTAGTAGGTGAAAAATAAAGTAGCATTTTTCCATATGGATCTCAAAATCCGTAGCTGTTATGAGCTATTTAGAATGCAATCCATTTGCCCTCCAAAAATGAGTGTGCAAAAAAAGAATCCTCTCCTAGGCTTCCAGCTAAGTTGCATCCACCCCTCAGGTATCAAATTCTAGAAGGAAAGAAGAAAACAAATGCATACAGAAACTAATGCAGTCTTCATAAAATAAACAGCCAGATTTGATGGAGAGCACTACAGAGAGCAAGACACTGCCACAGATCTTTGCAGAGTGACTATCTTCCCTAAATGCAGTGTAATGCTCTCCACTAATGGAAGAATACATGCCAATGCCTGAAAATCCCTCAAAGGGTGCAGAGCAGGAGGTCTGGATGTTTAACAGTTTGATGTTGTCAATTGATCAGAATTTAGACAAACTGGGTCCTGTAGTTTTAATATATCCTTCGCACTGTTCAAAGGATATTTACTAACTATTTATACAGTGTTTCCTTGCAAAATACACTATTGCTTCATTAAGCCATGAAATTATCAAGTCCTTTATGGACTTCACACTGATTTTAGGTGCACTAAAAAAATAACTCAGTGAAATTCTTCAGCCCATGTAATGAGGCAGCTCAGGTAAAATGACTGTAACATGACATTCTTATGTTAAAAAAAAAAAAAAAGGCAACAAAAACCCACTAAAGAACCCAACAAAATAACAACGACAAAAAAACACAATCACCTTTAAATCTTTCCTTTATATCTCCCTAGCTGAAAGCAGAGAAGTATTAGCTAAGAGATTTTATACACAATTGCCATCTAGGCCAAAGGAGAAACTGCCAGTCACCCAAAAATTTGGATCCTCCAAAATTCAGTAGCTGTTCTTGCCAGCCAAATTCCAGAGCATGTTAAATAGAGGTGTGCCCAAGAATGTAATGAAAACTTCCCACTGGTTTTGATAATGGAGGCCCAGGCTTCCAGAGGACAATCTCAGTGAACCTTTATTTCCAAATTCTAGACAGGACCTTCACTAAATTTCATTATAGCTTTTGTAAGGCAGGTAGCACATATTAAAGTAGAAAAGTGTGACAAGAGCTGTATAACCATCTTCCCCATTCAGGAAAAAGTAAAATAGGATTTGTGAATTTACTGTAATGAATTGAGTTTCAAATATACTACAAGGTCTAGGAGTGGAGACAGGACTTGGACTAGTTCCAGCTCAGCAATTTTTATCAGTAACTCTTCTTTATCAGCAGTCAGAGTATCGCTCTGACAGTCTGCAAGTGTCTATTCAAAATACTCCTTACATCTTTGTATGAGTACAGAGAGTTTATCAGGAAAATAAAGACACATAGAGAATGGGTATTTTGGTGAATACAAATGCATATATTAAATGTAGGCTCTTCTGAACAAGTTCTTGGTAAAGTATCTATAACATGAAGCATAGGATAAATTCTCCATAACATTAAATATACAGCTTTTAAGGGTTCATTACCACAGGGGCTTTATTCTCATCTTCTACAAAATGGAATATTCCCTTAGCTTCAGCCAGGCATTCAATCAAATGTATAAATCCTTCCACTGCTGTTTTGTCACTACCTGCAGGGCTGAATCAACACCATCAGACATACTGACATTCCAGGACATGAAGTTCTTCTACAGCAGTTTGCCTTCAGGAGACACCCCTCTTCCAATGAAAGAGGCAGCGAAGAAAACATTGCCAGAAAACTTCCTTCTTCCCTCAGGAAACACAAAATAAAACTACTGGGCATCACAAGGATACCCTTGGAGCAGCCCAGCATCTGGATCACAAAAGTAGATCTTGAGGAAAGCTTGACTTTCAAAGCCATACAATAGCTAATGGTGAATTTATTAATTCCAGATTTACTTCATTAAGCTGGGCTAGTAATTATTTCTCCATCTGGCTTCATACTGCTGTTATTTATGCAACAACCATCACTCTTCACCACTCATATAAATAAAAAAATCTAAATGCAGATAAATTATTCCAGTAAGATTTTGCTTGGAGAGATATCCATGTAAACTATTCACTGTTATGATAATTTTTCTAATTACTGTTCTGGATTAATAAAAAGGAAAAATTATAGTAAAATACAAACTGCTGATGATTTTTTTAACTATTTCATTGTATACAAATTAATATTAGGGTATACACTGATCACGTATTTAAATCAAGAAAAGAGATGGAAAAAGCGTCATGAGTTGAGACTCATATCTGGGACTCATTTATGCTCAAAGAGCTCTGAAGATGGCAGGTCCCCGAGGTACCATAACCATCTTCAGAGCACACTCAGCCAGACTGAGTAGGAAAAAATCCCCACCAAAATCAAACAAAACCCACTATGAATCACCTAGTTCAGCCGAAGGAAAACAGCAGCACTGCAAGAGCTGTAGTATTCCAAGGAGGCCAGTTATTCTGAGATGATGCACACCTGGACTACTATATCAAAAGGCAGGACACCAATGAGGCTTAGGTCTGTGTAGAATTAATTCGAAATTTAATAATTCCAGTCACTTAAAGATCATTTCACAACAGAAATTCAATTGTTAGTTTTAGATGTGACATTACTTCGTAAAAACAAAAATTGCATTTTGAAGTGAAAAATGTTCAGCTGCCTTTAGATCTAACACCTCTTTCCTCTCCAATTCCCACTGAAAGCCAAGGCTTTCAAATCTTCCTCAGACTTGTTCCTTCTGCTGATCCTACCAGCCTGCAGGTTCTCTGCCAGTCAGGCAATACTAGCAACAACAGTTTAAAACATAAGAATGTATTTGCTCCCATCTAATGTCCCACCCAGTGTGTGCCTAGCACCTGCACACCTCTCACAACATGCCTGCTGCAGCTGTACCTTTAACACAAAATCTGCCAAAATTCTGAAACAAATGGAATTATAAGCACAGTACAGACAAATATGGCAACTGCAACAGCAAAGGTAAAGGGAGAAAATCTTGAATACTGCAGTTGTCCCTACATTACACATTATCTTTTCTTACCTTTGTAGTCCACTGGTTTTGCATTCTTCAGTAGTTCCATGCACCTTGTCTCCTCCTTGTGAATCTCCAGCTGAAATCTGCATTCTGGATGGACACCATTTACCTGTGTCAAATTACCAAACAGGCTTTGGTTTTGAAACGCAAAATAAAATGCTTTAGGAAGGATGCAAATGCCAGTAATGAAAGCCACAACCAACTGGCACTGGTTTTGCCTAAGTACATGCTAGGCACTTTATAGACACAGTCATTGCCCATTTTAGCTTCTCACTCACTGACTTTTCAAAATGAAATATTAAAATAATCTACCAGAGCAGCCACTGGCTCGTTCCTGTAGCATTGCAAGACCAACTGTCATTAATTCATTAATTAAATATTTAATATTACATATTTAACTTTCTAGTGCCTTCTCCTTTCTCTTTCCAGAGACTTTTTCCTCCAGAAAAAAATGTGAGTTAAACTGAAGCAATAAAGTAAACACATATACTTTTTTTGGTTTTGCACTATGTTAGGAAGATGAAAGTTTAATTTGAATCTCAGAACCTGAAAAACTATCAAACTGCATTCTTTTCAACATGGTAAATTTTGCTTTTCTTCCCTTTCCACCATGTATTTTTTATCTCTTGCAGGCCCCAGAGCATGATTATTTGATTCAAGCAAATGCCACACAAGAAGAAAATCCCACTCTTTTAAAAATGAAAGCATCATTGCCTTCACTCATTTATAACCCTAGCCCCAGTTCCTTCATTTTCAGAAAAGGTTGCTTATGTTCACAGGAAGAAACAGGGATGTAGCAGTATTGGGGAGAGAAACAAGACACCACAAAGTTGTACTGAAGTCAGCTGGATTCACACAGCTTAACAGAGAAACACGTGGAGTCCATAAGAGACTGCACGGGAGAAACAACTGTAGTAGGTGACAAATGGGATAGTAAGAAATGTCACTGGAGCTGAAGGAACAGTGAGATTCTATTAGCTCAAATAGAATAACATCACAATGAAATGAAATGCGAATATTCAGTGCTTCAGTGATCCTCAGACTTGCTGTTACCAGGAAAAAAGGGTGGTCTCTCTCCAAGTTTCTTTCTCTTTTCTCTCTCTCTTACTTGTTAGGTGATATTTAATAACAGAATCTGGTAATAACCTCTGATTCTTGACAGAGGTTTGGTCTTTTTTTAATGGTAAAATTTAATTAATTAAGCTGTGATCATGGACTCAGACCCTAGGACCCAGAGTTAAGGCTGAGCACCTGGTTATTCTTCATTCCCCTCATGGGCAAGCCACTTGTACAGCTTTTGAAAATACAGCATAATAGGTGTAACAGCAGGAGGTGTTAGGAAAACTCACTAAAAATCTCTCTCCTCCAAATATCTCATTTTACTTTCTACAACATCAGAACCTTACTGCCTCATCTTTTCTCCATATTGACTATTGCAATCAGATGTTTTCAGGTCAGACTTTAAAAAAATTATTTTTAAAGTGTATTTGTACAGATCCTTAATACAAATAAGGATTTCCAGCATTTATTACAGAAAGTTCAGCTAGGTTTCAGTTTCATATCAGTTTCAGATATGAAAATATCTGTCTTTTGTTATGTATCATCTACTTCCAGAGAGCTCCCATGTAAAATAAAGTCCCATGTATACCTAATGTTTTCAATTGCATTTTCATTTCACGTAACAGATTTTGCATATTTTTTTTCTCCCAGCTGCAAACATACAGTAATTGAGAGTAGATCTCCTACTCATCAAAAAGTATAATTACTGAGTCTTGGAAAGGTAGGTTCCAGTAAATAGAGATGTTAACTAAACAAGGAATAAATCAAAGTAGCGAATGCAATTAAGAAACCTGCCTGCTAAGTGACTTCTTTCTCTTGTACTTCCAAAAGAAACCTAAGTTTCCCAGCATCCGTGATCTAATAGCAAAAGTTATTTTGAGAATATTAATTTCATAGTACCCAAAGGTAACAAATGACTTTTCAAACCTGGGATGCATGCAAAACCATAATACACGTTCTAATACATACCGCTGCTCCATTCAAATGCACCTCACCCAGCTAAAGGAATTTAGGGTTCAAGACTATATGGCACCAACCATGTCCTGAAATACATCAAGAACCCTGAAATGCATTTTGAGGGCACTCACCACCATTCAGAGCTGCTGCTCATCCACCTTTCCCTCTGCTTTACTAAGGGGAGGTTATCCTTTCTAACCACTGGGCACAGAACCATGTGCACTGTGTTGAGCCTTGTAACACAGCTGGAAATCCATCTGAGGAGTCTCTCTGCGGTTTTAGTGGCTTAACAATTTTTAAGGCATCCAGAACAGCAGTTTGACTGGAAAACAATTCCTCTGACAAGCAGCTTACATTCACCTTCAGCATGGTTTCCCGACTTTTGGTGGTAATTACCTCTTAAATTTACATTATCAAATCATGGAAGATTTAGAGAGCAGATTTTTGTATTATTATTTTTTGGAAATCACGTGTCTGGAAACGTTATAGACTTTTACAAACAACTTAAGAAACGCTTAAAAATACAAAGATGTGAAAAACAGACGCCCTACATTTGAAGCCTTCAGTATTCTGAATGCTTCCACATTCTCAGCCCGTGGTGTGTATTAAGAAGGTTTTTTTCCCCACGTTCCGATCGCGAACCACCCTCTAGAACCGCGCCCGGGCAGCGGTCGGTGGGAACTCCTCGCCAACCAGCGGCGACCGCCGGCTGAGGGGAGAACAGACAGC